AAAAAACAAAAACAAGTCAAAGGCCTCAAGTGCCACTCCATATTAAAAAGCTAAAGTGGCCAGGCGTGCTGGCTCAGTCTTACAATAACTTGACACAAGAGTTATCGGAAGGAAGAGAACATCAGCTGAGAAAATGCCTCCGTAAGATCCAGCCAGCTCTAAGGTATTTTCTTACTTCGTGACTGGTGGGGAAGGGCCCAGTCCATTGTGGATGGTGCCATCCCTAGGCTGTGGTCCTGGGGTCGATAAGAAAGCAGGCTGAGCAAGCCAGCAAACAGCACCCCTCCATGGCCTCTGCATCAGCTCCTGACACCCAGGTTCCTGCCCTGCCTGAGTTCCTCTCCTGAATTCCTTCGACAACGAGCAGTGCTGTGGGAGGAAAAGCCAAATAAACCCTTTCCTCCCCAAGTTTCTCTGGTTGTGTTTAATCACTGTAATAGTAACCCTAACTATGACATTGGGTGTAACGGCCCACACCTTTAATCCTAGCACTCAGGAGGCCGAGTCAGGCTATTCTCTGAGTTTTAGGCCAGCTTGTTTCTACATAGTAAGTCTGGCGCCAAGCAGTGCTATATAGAGACTATCTAAATATAAACTAGCTAACTAAAGTCTATGTAGAAATATAAAAATAAAGGGTTTTTGTTTATTTTTTTTAAATGTCTAGCCCCCTCTGCTACTCACTATTGTTCTGTGTGCTATCCTCCAACCTTTGTGCTCCAATCCAGCCTGTCTTCCATTCCAGGGTAGGGAAATGAATGTGTGTGGGGGTCAAGTTCTATTTTTGCAATGGGATGCGGACAGGCATCAGCGTGCACTCAGTTGTCATGAAAGAAGGGAAGAACTCAAGTTCAAGAGAACCCATTTTTTACCTGATGTCCACCAGTGCAAAAGCGAGTCTCAGTGAAGGGTGGAGAAAGGAAGACAGAGGGAGGGAGAAAGCACTCTTCATGCTGCTCCAGGGAATACAGTAATTTGGGACTTCATGGCCTCTTGATCTGGTCTCACCTGTCCTACACTTTGTTCTAGAGCATGAGGAAGTGGCAGAGGGGCTCTGGCAGCTGCTAGCACTCCCTACCAGTCAAGCGGAAAAACTCACGGGCTGTGTGGTGTCCCCGAAGGCAGTCCAGGCTGTGCCCATGCCTAGGCCATCCCCAACGGACGCTCACGAGGGCCACCTGAGGAGCCATGGTAAGCAGTGTCAGCTATTTGGTGCATGGAGGGCAGAGGGCTCACCCAGGGGGAGTTGGAACAGGGCTTTCCTGACAAGCCACTCAAAGAAGGGCTGTGAAAGGGTCAGCGGAAGTTCCCCACTTCAAATCTTTCCTGTTTCCTTTCTTCCCGGTGCTTACCAAGCTGACTTGCATGGTCTCTGCCTAATCTGGATGGAATTTCCTCCTCCACCCACCTGGCATGCTCCCTACAGTCCTGAGCACTCCTAACCATGGGCTCTTGCTTCCACCCCTCAGGCTACCATAGCACCCCGAGGGCTACCAGAGCATTCCACCCCTCGGGCTACCAGAGCACTAGCCACCATCTAGAGGCTCCAAGGGAAACGCTGCCCAGCCCAGGTTAGGGAGAAGCACGGTTGGACAAGAGCTTGAAGACACCCAGACAACCCTAGATCCTGACTTGGTATCTCTCTATTGGTTGCTGTAATCATAGGGGCACTCGGCAGTCCCACCAGCTCTTTAAATGAAGCATTCACACATACCACAAGCTGTGAAGACTAAAGAAAAAGGTTGGAAACAATGCACATCTTCCCAATAGGAACTTGAAATAACTGCAGGCTATTGCTGCTGGGAGAAAAATTATGGTGCATTCAATTCTATGATGCTCAGACTTTGTGTGGAAATGGAGTCTTGCTAGGCAGCCTCAGGTTGGCCTTAAACTCACTATGAAATTCAGGCTGACCTCAAATTCTCCATCCCCTCCTCCCCCATCTCAGCCTTCATGTGCTAGATAGGATTCAATGCATGCACTATCTGGCCTGGCCAGAAGTGCTTTTTCACAACCTCTCTGGGGAACATGATCCAGACAGAATTTCATCAGTGTTTCTACCTATCCAAGCCATACCTGCTTATAAAAAAATACTGTCACCAATCTGTCTCCCAAATGCTCGGCCCACTGACAGATCAAAACCCACAGTTTGGAAAACACTGGGCATTGAAGTGGCATTAGGAGGTGACAGAATCTTATGAAAAAGCAAGTTCATTACTAGAACAGTATACATCTATAAGTCCTCTTTCTGTACTTAAGACCACGAACCCAAGGAGCTCGGCAGGCTTTGAGTTGCAAAGGACCTGCCCTGGATTCCACAGCTCACACATCCTAGGGGAGCAAATCTGAAAAAAAGCAGGTTGTCTCAACACTCACATTTAAAAATTACAAGGTCAAATTGGAATAAATGAGTGTCTCAAAAAAAAAAAAAAAAAACAAACAAACAAACAACTTTTTTTTTTCTTTTCGAGGTATGATTTACACGCATTTGGTTTCAGTCGTAATAATTACCATGAAAGGACAATAGGTGTGCCATAGAAAGGGGGATGGGTTAAAAGTGAAGGAGTGCCCATTTTCCCCACAACAAAACAAAGGCACACATCAGTGCTTGAGGCAGAGAGCAAGTGGGCTGAAGGGCTGTGAGCCCAACTCAGGTCTCGAGACTCAATTACTCACTCTTCATCATCCAAAATATTTTAAGAGAAATGCAGCTGTGGTCTTCCCATTCGAAACGTTTCCATGACTGGGACATAATTGTGTCCCTGACACCCCACACAGCTGTGACGCTCTGAGTAGACGCTGGCTCACGGCTGCCTACAGGTCAGATAGCTTGCGCCACTTACTTTCTCTGTGCCCTTTTGCCTTTGCTCAAAACTAGAAAGAAAGAAAAAAAAAATCCTTGCTACCCAAAGAAAGCTGCAGAAGAACACAGAAGGAACTTCACACCCAAGCCTATGAGTCGAGGAACTGCAGAGCCAAGAGCGTCACTGCCGGCAGCCAGGACCAGTCTCAGAACTAGAAGAGCTTGCTGATTGGCAACAAAAACTTCATTTTGCAAGCGAGTCCCAGAAGGTAGACACTTGCCATGACAGTCAAGATAGCTGCACACACACATTCACACATTCTCTCTCACACACGCACAGTATATGCTCACAGCTCACACACTGGCAAACACACGTGCCCTCTCATATACACTAACAGCTCACACATTCTCGCTCCCCCCCCACACACACACACTTACACCCTATGTCTGTCCACCTAGAAATGGAATTTTTTTTTTTTGGAAAAGACCACACACACACATGAAGCGTGAATCAAAGCAGGCAGGGAAAAGTGTGGGAGAACTGAGCACACAGAGCATTACTTACACAGAGGAGACAAACGCCTTGACTGTCAAAACAAATTTAAAAGGCATCAGTAATTGTCTCTAACCTTCAAAGTAAGCTAAAGTGACACTTGGACCAGAATTCATGGCAAAGAGGCACCAGGGCTCACAGGTGGAAGGGTTCCTTTGATGGAACGCCATCTCTAAGTCTATGGCCTGTTCAAATTAATAGCTCCTAGCTTTCCCCTCTCTAACCAATCAATACACATTAGACTGCAGAAAATGCCATTACATTTGATCCGTTCGTTCCTATACTAATACCATCTAGTATGTGTCCTAGCCCTTTCTGAGGTGATTTAAAAATCTAGGCCAAGTTTCCCCTACTCACTCCTCAAGAGAGGCAGGCAAGGAGCACTGCCCCAGTAGGGCACTGGAGGGACAGAAGTGATGACTCAGGTCTGGCAGTGAGCTGGAAGTCAGGCCTTGCCTTATGCCCAGGATTTGTTCTCACTGGACTCGGCCTGTGCAGCCACTGACTGCCAGCTCTGAGAAAACCCAAATATTCACACCTGCTCGGGTGGAGCCAGCATCAGCCATAAGGTACTGTTCTGTGTGTACAGCCCTGGCTCCCTGCCTTACAAAATAACTGCTGCCCAATGAGGTCCCCAAGTTCCCCCAAAGCACACTGGAGCTGCAGCCCTGAATTCGAGTGACTAAGCGTCAGAGCAAGAGCCTCTGTTCTCTTCCCTTGCGCCTCGGTTTATTCATAAATTAACTCCCAGGGATGCCCCCCACCCTACCCCCACCCCCAGTGAGATGAGTTCCGCTTCTAAAAGTGAAAATGTCAGTACAGGTAGTACTTCCTGCATCTCTCGCAGGGCCGGTCCAGGTCCAGCACAGGCAGCTCTCGGTCTAACAAATCTCACCTGCTTAAGTCGACTTTTGACAGAAGCGCAAGCGAAACTACCCGGGGGAAGTGACCAGGTCAAACTGGAAGCCTATTACACAACCCATAGCCATAGCCGTATAGTACAAGCCTGCAGGTCCACCTTGCAGCAAGCGAAAGACAGCAAATGACCCTGTAGGTCCCACTGCCTCCCAGTAGAACTGGATGGGCTGATCTAGTACACCAAAAGACGGTGCCGCTGGCTCATCCCCAGCCCCTAAACGACCCCAGAGCAGCAGGCGCGAGCCGGGGCCAGAGGGCGCCCGGCCCGGGGAAAAGGGGACGGAGGTGGGGGGTTGGGGGGAAGAGTACATTCTCGGAGCAGCTCGGCGAGCGCTTCCCCGCCGCTAGCTCCCTCGGGAGCCGCGCACGTGCAGCGCCCCAGCAGTCGGACGGCGCAAAGCCACAGCCACCTCCGCGCACAGAGTGCTCAGCACTTGTCCCCCGCGACCGCGGTGGGGGCCAGAAGCACGGGACTCCCTGGTGGGTTCTGGGGTACACTCCCCCCCAGGGCATCGCGGAAGGAGCGTCACGATGCACTCCCCAGAGCCCTGGCTACACGCGCCCAATCCGGGAGAGAGCCCTGGCCTGTCGCCGCGTCCTGGGGAACCGGCAGCGTGGCTTCACGGCGCTGCCCCCGGGCTGGCGCCGCGCGGGATGCAAACGCGCGCGCTGCTGCGGCTGCTCTCCTGCGGTCCTTTCCTCCTCCCCACAGTCCTCCGCGCGCCTCACCTTCACGGAGTCCACTGGGTACATGATGGAGTGCTCCAGAATCCCGGCCATCGCTCCCGCTGTCATGTGGGTGGACACCGAGGCGCTGGTCGGTAGGTTCTCGTAGTCCTCCGACCCGGCGTCCTTGCTGCCGCAGCCGCCATCGCGGCAGTCCCCATCCATCCTCCGGCCCGCAGCCTGGCTCCCCACGCCGCCGCGGCGGAGCTCCATCCGCGGCCCCGCGGGGCGCGGGAGGCGGCAGGAGGTGGACAGGAGGGGGAGGGGGTGAGGGAGGAAAACTTCACTTCTTAAAGTGGGAACCTCCTCCCCCGGGTTGCGGCGGCTGACGCCATGGCGGGCAGGGGTGGAGCCGAGCGGCCCGAAGCACCAATGGCTGGAGAAGAAGAGGCCGACCGTGGCCGTGCTATTGGTGCGCCGGGCAGCGGGCACCCACCTCCCTATGTGACGTTGCTGCCCGCTGCACATTTCCAAGCAACCGGACGGGGGCGAGAGCAGACATTGGGGTGTCCGGGGAAGTTGTACTATCTAGGGGTTGTTGACCATCTACAAGGGGCAGTCAGGTCCCTGGGGAGAGACAGCAGAAGGGATATGAACAGAGAGAGCTGCAAGATCAGCAGCAGGGGCTGTCCCCAGGATCCGTGGTTTTGCAGACACTGGTCAACCAGCTTTAGCATTCCTAAGGCTGGGGATCAGGTAGGTGGGGGAGGGCGGTTACCAAGAATGTCAGTTGGGAAGCAGGATGCTTGGACCTTGGAGTGGTCGTTGGAAAGGGGTGTTCTGGAATCAAGGACACACCTGCCTATCAGAGGGTGCACCTTTTGTGCTCTTAGGACACATTCGAGGGAGTAAACACTCAAGGTCCTCCCTTCTAGTCAGCTTTGCTTTGTTTCTCCTCTGAAAACAACGAAGGACTAAGTGTGTTCTTTATGTTCTCTTGAAGATGCAAGTCCACTCTGTCCTGAATTGACTAAGACAAGAGTAGCAGGAACAGAACCCTTCGCTAAGCAAGCTCCCTGGGTCATTTTCTTTGGGTTTGTAAGGTCACAGCAAGATGGGCTTGATGTCACAGCAGGAGCGCCCAAGTGACTCTGCTACATAGCCTGCCTGTCTCTGAAGACTTCTTTTAAAACCATCCCTTCCGTCTCCTTCAATGAATTGGAGCCCAGGATGTTTTATTTTAACTTAGTATTGCCTTGCTCCGTCTGGCCTACTTGTGGGAGGCTCTGTCCTTACATGCTTTAGGATTTAACCCAGAGCTGAGAGCTGATCTGCAGTACCTGGGCCTCCCTGCCTTATGTAGAGAAGACTTTTGAGCAGCAAGGCCAAGCAATGAGATGCGCAGGGGGCCGGAGAAACCCTGTAGATGCTGTGCCTGCCAAGCTTCAGGTCAACAGTCTCAAGCAGCTCCCAGGGATCTGAGATTCAGCAGTGGGCACGTCCGAAGAGGACAGTAAAGGTGCCGAGGCCAAAGGCACCATTTTCCAGTCTTGGGTAGCTGCCCTCATAGTTTCCAGGTGAGTCCTAACACTATGAAAGTGGATACCAGACCACAGTTCAACAAAGGCAACGGAAGTGTGGCTCCACTGTTGATCAGAAGTTGTTGTTGATTCTTACAAGTGTACCCCAGCAGCCAAGAGTCTGAGGCAAGGATATCACCACTAGTTTGAGGCCAGTTTGTGCTATGTGGTGATTCCAGAGCAGCCTGGGCTCAATGTGTCACACACCTTAAAAAAAAAAAAAAAGGATGTCTAACTAATACATATGAACTTCCAATTCCACTTCTGGATTTGAGACATGAAGACCTGGGATACAAATAAAGCTTTTTTTAAATCATTATTTGTAGTAGCAAATACTTAGAAGCTATGTAAATATTCAGTAAGAGGGGAAATGAAGAAATGATGATGTGTACTAGTGAAATATTACATAGCCCCTAAAAAAAAACTGTGGTTCTGTTAGGCAATCACAAAGGAAATGATTCACATACTGTTGGGTAAAAAACAAAACAAAACACAGTTTTGTGGCCATTACACTCACAAGATGTTTGTGCACAGGAAAGAAAAAAAAAGTGAAATGACTTGTGATGGTGACAGGGTTACAGGCAACTATTTTGTCTTGTTTTTCAGATTTCAGCTAATACATTATTTCTGCGATTTAAAAATAAAAGTATTCATATACCACCTAATGGACAGATAAACATTTCAAATTCACAACAGTGGCATTGGTGAAAGAAATTCAACTTATCAGTGACTAAGAATATTCTTGGGGAATTTTTTTTTTAATTATAAAAGTTTCTTGTAAATAAGACTATAATCTTTGGAGTCTGAAAATTTCTGATTTTTTTTTTCTTTAAAAATTTATTATGGTGCTCTTGTCTCTCATCAAAGAAGCTTCTCTTTGAAGCTGACAGAGACTATTTCAGAAAGCCACAGCTTGTCAAATGGCAAAGAACAACCAACCATGGGGTGCCCAACCAACCCCAACTGGTATTTCTACGACACAACCCCTACACCTAAGGCTCAGAGAACAAGGAGAACGGTAGAACAGGACAGAAAGATTATACGAACTAGAAGACTGGGAGACCATGTCTTCCATGCGACAGGGAAGTGGCACTCAGGAAACCACAACAATATGGTTGCCTAAGCAAGACCTGAAAAATGACACTACCTGTTGACATGACAGCATGGATGGGGGAGTTCTCACAAGGGTCCGCTCCTACATGAATAACTACAGGCAACTAATGGTTGCTAGGAGACAGAGAATCAGTCTTTTCCATAGATGAGCCCCCTGATAGGCTATCCAGTCCCAAGAGGTCATCCTTAAACACAGAGGAGCATCATTAAATGATCTCAGCAAGTTGTGTTTATAAATATATATGTATATATGTAACTGTTAATACAATAATAAGAAGTAAGAGGCTGGGCCTGGAGAGATAGCTCAGCAGTTAGGGGCCCTGGCTGCTCTTCTAGAGGTCCTGAGTTCAATTCCCAGCATTCACATGGCAACTCACAATTGCCAATAATGGGATCTGGTGTGCAGATGTATCTGCAGACAATATACATAAAATATGTAAATCTTTTTTATAAAAGTATAAGAGGCCATTAATTTGAGGACTATGTGTGTGTGTGTGTGTGTGTGTGTGTGTGTGTGTGTGTGTGTCAGGGAAAACAAAAGGATTGGAGAAAGGAAAAAGAGAAATATGTAAATACAGAACTTATATATGAAATTCACACAAAATAAATATTAAAAATCAAAATATGAAAAGAATTTAGGTTGTGCCCAACTGCAAATTTGTGGGGGATTTTTTCCTACTTCTCCATATGAAGGCCTGTGTACCCAATGTTTATCTTATACTCACTGTATTGCAATGGCCACGTTTCTAAGATGGCCTTGCTGTCAGGGGTCTAGATGGGCTGGTCTACCAATAGATGACCTGGAGAGATCTAGAAGGCAGAGCCATTTTCTGCTGCTTGCTGCTTTGTGCTCCCTGGGAAGGCTGCAGACATTTGATGTTGAGGAGGATGGTGGCTTCTTCCCTCTGCAATAGCACTGCAGTGTCTGGCCACCAGCGTCCCAGTCCCTTCACGATAGGGTCATATGTGACCTCCTGATCCCCCCCCCCCCCCAGCAATGGAACTAACCCCAGAGAATTAACCCCAGAGACCTAGCCTGGAGTCTGCTCTCCACACCGCCAACAATGCCATGCACAACAATAGAAGGGCCTGATGGTGGAGGACTCACTCCTGGATGTGGAATCCGGCAGCCAGCCCTGCTCCTCCACTTGAGAGGAAGGCCTGTTGGGACAAAGTACACATTCCAGCTCTAGAACCCTGTGTTTTAGACACACCCTGCACAGAGGAAGCTTCTCTTTCTTTGAAAGGCAGGAGCCCAGGAACCCAGAAACAGAAGATTGCCTGCTGAGTAGATATTCTCTCCAGGGTTAGGCCGGGAGACTCAGGGTTATGATTCTGCTGGAATCTTGCAAAAAAATTCCAGACTGTTGAAGGCATGGAGATGTCAGCATGCCATCTGCCCTGGGTCAACTGGAATCCAAGCTTAGCTTAGAAAGAGGAAGTTGCTGAGCATGCAGTGTGCACAGCTTCTAACTTTGGCTCAGAGGTCTGTGCCAACTCTGGGTCCACCATTTACTGACAATGAGGCTCTGGTCTCTGGACTGGCCTACTTCCTCCAAAGGCCACAGCCACGGATACTTAACCGCATGCTCAGTGAAATACACTGGTAGAGGGAGAATGAAAGCATCCGCATGCCAGCTAATTTTAACACAAGTGAATACATTAGCTGGGCACGGTGGTGCATGCCTGAAATAACGGCACTTGGGAGGCAGAGGCAGGTGGATGTCTGTGAGTTTGAGGCCAGCCTTTTCTACAAAGCAAGTCCAGGACAAACAAAGCTACATAAAGAAACGCTGTCTCGAAAAACAAATAAAAAGAGACCACAAAGGCCTCTGAACCTACATAGTTCCAAATACAGTCCCTCACAACTGCACATGTCAATCCCTATAATCCCAGAATCCCTTGCTTTTCCAAGGACAGTACTATTTATAGACTCTTGACCTGTGACTCATCCTCAGGCATGTTTCCCCAAGACACAGATGATGAAACAGTGACAAAATGAAGAGGTGCGACAGAACTGCCTCAGTTAACCAGGCTTCCTATGATAGCAGGTAGTGACAGGCAGGAATTAGAGTTGAAGATCCCATGTTGAGGGAACCTCTTAACCTACTCTACCTCTCAAGAGCCTGCCTCTTCTCCTGACTCTGCCTTGAGTTCCACATATCACTGTGACTCCTGACGTCAGCCAAGCCCAAGTGCTGAGAGAGGGTCCTGTTGTTCTGCTCCTGGGGATGCCTGCCCCATGCTGCATGACCTGAAGACACCGCTGTTGCCCTTGCTGTCACTCCAGAGCCAAGCTTCCATCAGGCTAAAGGCCCAGGGTGGCCAAATAGGATGGCAGTGCAGTGCCGGTGCCAGGGAAGGCAGAGCAGTGAACGCACTATGGCTGAAACATGTCCTACCTGTGCCTTTGTGTGGTAGACCGTGGGCAATCCACTAGCCATCACTATGTCAGCTGACGTCTATAATCTTTCCCTCTTCCAGCCCATTTCCACAAACATCCTGGTACCTCCTTTACCTAATAAAATCTCTTTTCCCAGCTTCACACTTTGCCAATCCCCTCCCCCATCCTGAAGCCCTTGAAAGAGTTGTCTCCTCTACCTCCCTCCTTATGGCACACTTTTCAAGCCTCTGCATGGCAATGTTTAACCCCCTGCAGTTTTCTGTAGGTTCTCAGTCTTAGGAGGTTCACTGATGACTTCAATGCCAAGTCAGCACCTGACCCCCACCTCCTGTCACTGTCCTAGCAGGAGTGAAGGTGTTCGAAAAGGAGGACTTGTACAAAATGGATCTCCCCAGGAGTCTCATGCTAGTTGAAGAAAAAGGCTGAAGAAAAAGGCTGGGGCCCAGTGCTGGTTGGAGGAGCTTGCCTCTCAGGAAGAGATTTCACGTGTCAGACCACCTTTCAGGAGAGACTGTGCCTTGCACAGGACTGCCTTGTTATTCATACCTCTTGCTTTCTATCTAAACCTAAACTCAGAGCATAGACGTGGGGAGGGAGAGAGTTCCACAGACCTCTTTGTTCCTTTTCCCAATGTGTCCACATTGAATAAGTCTTTTTCTGCTTTTTGCTATTAATTGTGACAATAACTGTCCTAGTGAGGACAAGTGGCCAAACCTAGCTTGACAGGACTGCCAGGGCCCCATGCTCTGCCCCTAACAACTCTGATAACATTCCAGCATGACCTTCTAGCTCCTACCTCTGGAAAGCCTCCCTTGCTTTCCATTCTTTCCCCCTACATACTTGGCCTCTCGTCCCTCCTGGGCCTCTGGCCTCCTTTTCTCCCTTCCCTGTGGGCCTCTTGCCCATCCCAAGTACCAAGCCCAGCTCAGTTTTACATCCTACCCCAAACTGTGCTTTCTACAACTGGGTTCACGAACTCCCAGTCAGCTCTACCAGAATATTCTACCACAGCTACAGCGCAGAGTTGATTCATGTGTCTTGGGCCTGCTACACCAAACTGCTGCTTTTGGGGACAGTTGGAAGTGACAGATGTTTATTATCTTCTGAAGGATAAAGTCTCAGGTCAAGGGGACAATAGGGTCTTATTCTCTGTGAAAGCTGTCGTAGAGGAGCCGTGCTGGTCCCTTCCAGCTTCTGTAAGCAACCTGCTACATTGATGTTTTTTGTCTGAGGTCAGAAAGCAAGAAAGACAAGGGAACAAACCACTTCGTGGCAGCACTGGCCTGGGAATCAGGGATCTCTAGTATAAGAAGTTAGAGCCCACTATCGACTTACAGACAGGGCACTGAAAACATTCTTCTTTGGCCTCCACTTGGCCATTCCTAAGAGTAGCTAAGTGATGGATTAAAGAACATCAGGTGATAGAAAAACATCTCTCATGGCCATCTCGGGGGCAAGGTATTGACTGATAAGGCAGAAAGGCTCAAAGCTTAAAAAAAAAAAATAAGTAATTTTAGTTCTGGAAGCCTAATTAATTTCTGGAGTTGTCACTGATACAAACACTGTAGCCATGACTAACACTCCTGAATTTGTTTCTATTAACTGGGTAGAAAGGAGGGCAGAGCTGGTGCTCTCACAACTTCTCCCTTTTACACAGGAATGGGGTTCTCATCTGGGGAGTCTTGGGGCAATCTCTTATATTGGGAACTTTGGAGGACGCTGTCCACATGCCTTCTGGCGGTGTCCTGGACAAAGGAGCCGAGTCTCTGGGACACAAAACGGGTTAGGCAGTTTAGGAGACAAGACCCAAATGTCAGCAGGAAGAAGATGAAGAGGAGAGGTCCCAGGAAGGGAACCAGCCAGGGCAGCCAGTGTCCAGTGTCGGGCCACAGTCCCCAAGAGTCAGAATATTGGCCAAGGTCAGACGCTAGTTCTCGGAGTTTCCTTGCGGCATCTCGAACTATGCCAGACTGGTTTACATAGAAGCAGCACTCCTCCTGGAGGAAGAGACAGGTGCCCCCTCTCTCGGCAGTGATGAGGTCCAGAGCTCTTCGGTTTTGGAGAACAACCCCTGCGAGCGAGTCTATTTGGTTCTGGAGGGTAGTGATAGAGGCAGCTATTTCATGCAGGGTGTCTGAGAGAGCCTTAGAAAGCTGTTGGAAATAGAAAGTTGAGGAGGCCAAGCCAGCTATGCCTGTACCAAGGGCAGAAGAGATGCCCAGGCCTGCGAGGAAGGGGAGGAGGTGAGGGGACCTCTTCCGGCGAAAAGCTGAGTCTGAGGGATGAACCGAAGCAAAAAGGGGGACAGACACCGTTTGGTTATTGGGGAGGAGTTCAATATCCGGGTATTGGAAGACAAGGGTACAGACACCGGACCAGTTGGCAGGGAGACAAACATAAGTTGATGTTCCACAGAGGAAGAAAACTCCTGAAGAGTTGAGACAGAAGGCGTAGGAGAAGGTAAGAAGATGTGAGAATATGTTTGAGGTGACATCCCAGTTTTCCTGGAGAGTGATCTCATTTTCCCACACGGAATATTGTCCAGACAGGGCAGCTCCTGTGAGGGGCTGGTAATGGGTGAGTGGATAGGGGTCTCCGTGTCCCTGGAGTTTGACCTTGAGGTGAATAGGGTCCACCGACACAGTAATGGGGTGAGTTAAGTTGTCTGATTCATATAGGGTAAGTTTATAGCAGGTTCCAGAGGGAGAGCGAGGACAGCGCATCCAGGGGGTGGCTGGGGAGGTATGGCAGTATTTGGTGTCTGTTGGACAGGGATAGGGAGAGGGTTTTGAGAAGATTAGGGAGGGGGGTCCTGAAAAGCGGAGCGGGTTTCTCCATTTGGCGTCTGGTCTTCTCATTGCCTGTTTGAATAGATGGATGGTGGACAGATCTAGGTTCTCATGACTGGCAGAAGGTGATAGGTGTAGGGTGTAGTTGCAGAGAGAGGCAGAGAGGGTGCCTACAAAAGTGGCATGCGCTGAGACCTTGAAGAAGCGGGAGATGCAGAGCGGGGCCTGCGATGTGAGGAGAGTCTCAGTAAAGAGTGGTCCCCATAAAGGGCGTTGGGTCGCTTCGAAGAAGCGGTCCTTATCAGGATATATCACAGGCGTCAGGCGGGTGATGATGGGAAATATGCCTGTTGAGCTGACGAGCTGAAGAAAAGCAATAGCCCTTCGGTCGGGATTGTGGAAAGAGTAGGAGGCGGTCAGCGGGTGGAAGAGGCGGAGGTGCCTCTCAATCTGAGTAATGGGAAAGGTGCCGGCGAAGGGCTTGACTGAGTAGGTAAGGTGAAGCTTCATGGGTGTATCTGTCCAAGTGGACAGAGGGGCTGGGACCGCTAGGGACCTTTGGGTTTGCGTGGACAAGCAGACCCAGCAGTTGGAAAACAAGGACGAGTTGGTATCACGGAGGATGCGGTGAGTAAGGTTTATAAGGGGCATCCAGCTTTCGGGATAGGACAAGGAGTAGGGGAGAAAGACAAAGCAGAGGACCCAAAGGCGTGTCATGGTGCTTTGGGAGTGGACAGCCGTAGCGTGGGGTGCAGAGAAGTTGGTCCTGTGGATTTGTCAGTCCTAAAACTTGTTCACTCTGGGTGTTCAAAGGTGGCTGGTTAGTCAGGGTGGCTCCAGGCTCTGCAGGTTATGCGTGGAGAGGTCAGACCTGTGAGGAAAGAGGTATAAGTAGGGGGAAGGTCGCTAGAAGGGTTAAGGGTTTTAAAGTTAGGAGCCTTCTTGGCTCAGAGTAGTAGAGCCAGTTAGAACTGTCTTTTACCAGCAAAGCTCTTGGAGAAGTCACACTTACCTGGTAAGATCTCTGCCCGAAAGACTCAGCTGAGCATGGGTTTAGGAGGTATATGTGAGGCGAATGATTGCAGAATGTGGCTGGTTAGATGTAAAGCAATCCATGCATCCAGAAACAGGGATGTGGTGCTAAAGAGAAGGCACTGACCCGCCAGCTGTGCTTGAATTCTAAGAGACTGAGGTCACCGGGCTCTTCTGGGGAGAACCTGAAGATGAAAGAGAAAAACAGGCAGAAGAGCTGGCTGGGGCAGTTTGACTTCAAGCAGGAGCTAGGTGTTATTGAAGAAGAGCATCGGCACGGTCCACCTAGCCTGAGGACTGGGGTCTAAAGGGAGTGTGAAGAGAGTAGATGATGCCCAAGGAGGTAGTCAAGGGCTGAGTTACATTAGGAAAACAAAAAAACAAAAACGGGTCCATTGATTGTCAGATGGTAGAGATGAAGACAGGCCAAAGCAAGAAGTGACTTGAAATAGAAGGACATGAACAGCCCCTTGTGTCCTCTTAGACCTAGTGGGGAAAGCCTCTGTCCATCCCAAGAGAGAGTCTACCAGCAGAGCAGATACCACACCACCAAACCAAGAGGGCAGCCTGTGGGGGAAGTCCATCTGCTGCTTCTGTCCCAGGAGATGCCCTGAGGCTTGGTGAGTGAGGAAGGGAGCTTGGTGTGGAAGGTCTGTGACAAGGTGGGGGAGGAGAGAGAGGTCTTGAGGAAGGTGAGCAGAAATTGATACCGACATGGGACTGATTATGCACGGTGGAAAGGGGGGCTGATTCCTGAACAGAAAGGGGGACAATGGGATTCTCAAGAATCTTTGAGGGTGACTGGATTCCACCCCACCACCACCACCACCACTACCCCTAACACCACTCATACACACGTGGGAAGTGGCTAGGTTGAAAGAAGATGAGGGCTGGAAAGATAATAGAGTGGATAAGAAAAAGATGGGCTTTGGGTGAGCAGACACCAGAGGACTGAAAGAATGTGAGGCGGAGGCCAACGTTACCTGTTTAATGAGGGTGTCAGCTTCCAGAGTTGCCTTTGGCTGTCTGGTCAGAAATGCCTTGGTGGCCTGTGCAGTGGATGACTGCTGAAAGGCAGCCTGAAAGACGCTGACATTAACAAAGCGGTGCTCTGTGAAGTGCGAAAGCCTCTGTCCCTTGTCAAGTTGTGGCGTGAGCATTAGAATGTGGTGTGCGTCTTTGGAATTGACGTAGATGTTAGCCTTTGCTTTCATGCTGATGTGAGGTGGTGGGGGTGGCAGTGTCAGAGCCTGCAGCTTGTTGGGATTCTTTAAGAGAGCTCCTCCCATGGGGCTGGAGAGATGGCTCAGTAGCTAAGAGCACTGGCTGTTTCCCAGAGGCCCAGAGTTTGGTTTCCAGAACCCACCGTCAGGTGGCTCATAACCATCTGTGACTCCAGGCCTAGGGAATCCAAATGCCTCAGGAATCCATGGGCACCTGTACTCACATACACACATGCATACATATGGGCCTACACACAACTACAAATAATAAAAGATAAATTCTTGCAAAAAGGAGCTCCCACCAATGACATAGTTAGAGGCCTCAGCGATGAGAGCATCTGACAGGTGACTAAAAGTGAGGAGAAGACTGGTAGTCCTTTGGAGGACTAAAGTCTTCAGGAAGGAGGGTGGCTGGATTGAGAGTCTTACACCTTTGAAAGGTGACTGGGGGAGGCAGAGAGATAAAAAGGGTGCATGTGTCTATTGAACGTGAAAGGGAAAGAAAATAGATCAGCAGCTTATGATCCCAAGGAGACTGCTGCAGGCAGAGATAGTAATGAAGAATCAGAGTTTGAGTCTGAGGGCTTTTATCATTAAGACAGGACTTTCTGAGTGTCTTTTAGTGAAAGTACTAATCCTATGCTACTGGGTCTAACTGTGTTAGTCAGGTGGGTTACTATTTGGAGCGTGTTTCTCCATTACCATAAGAGATCTAAGGCTAAGTTATGAGAGAAGTATACAAATAGAACAAAGAGTTTGGAGGGGTGCAGAGCAGATAAAAGGGTGTCTTTAAGCTTGGAGAAGGTAGGTTGGATAGGTTTGGAGAGATCCAGAGGTTCTGAAAGAGTACTATAAGTAATTTGATAAATTAATTTGGTCCTGAAGTTGGAAATCCATATAAAAAAGTAACCCACAAGGCCTAGAAAGGATAAAAGATCCACTTTAGTTTTGTTGTTTTGTTTTCTGATGGAGGGAGCATGTTCTGGGTTATGGCTTTGCAGCTTTGGGGTATGCCTCTGGAAGACGGGGGTTACAGTGAAGCCAAGATAGGGTACCTGGGAGAAGACTATCTGGGTATTCCTGGTAAGCTAAGAAACTGAGGAAATTGGAGCTGTATTGTAGAGACAGGTCATAAAGAGGGTCCGCAGAGAAGAAGACTGCATGTTGGAAGTGTGCAGGAAGGAGTTTGAGGCCTAGCAGATCATGAGGAGAATGTACAGGCTAAAGAGATGAGGGCCATCATGGAATCCTTTCAGGGAAGACCAGCAGGGTTAGCTGAATGGACATTTGGACGTCAGGATCTGTCCAAGTCAATACAGAAAGGTCTTACCAAAAACAGACGAGGAGGAACAGTGACATATCTGTGAAACTCAGGACAGAAATGACAGGTGGGAGGGGGAACTCGGATGGGATAGAAGGGTGTAAGGATGGTCACCAGGGCAAGAGGAATTTACAACTTGGTTAATCAGGCAAGTCTTGTACTAGGTGACAAAGAGCCACCTGGCCTCAAGACTGCCAGAACAGGAGTGTTGTGGGTAGAGTTGGTAAGTCCCGAAATGCAGGCTTTATGGACTCTGATAATGACAGTTTTAAGTTCGTTGAGGCCAATAGAGGTAAAAGGGTATTGGGCCTGACATTCAAAACAAAACAAACAAACAATAACAAAACCCACACAAAAGGGTCCCACAATTCCTACAGTTTAATCAGTATGAAGGTTTGACAGGTAGCAACTGTGTTGGTAGATAGTATCCTAGACCAGAGGATGACTGAAGAATAAAGAATAGTGAAGGTAGCCTGGGACCCAGTAAGGGCTGACAGTAAAGTAGTAAGAAGGAAGTTACTTTGAAGGGACTTTGTGGTGGAAAGATAAGAGGCGTGGAGCTTTTCCAGAATGTCATGTCCCAGGAGAGTGGCTGGAAAACTGGGAACAGGGAAGAGGATGATCCAAAAGATGACACAGTCACTGACCAGTCTGTTTAGCCTTGGCAGGAATGGCTTTACCCCCATCACAGAGGAAGGAGTCCCCCATACAGATCCAGCAAATTCTGGTAAAACTGAACAATTCACTCTTGCATGAGAAAGAAAAACAAAGAAAGAAAGAAAGAAAGAAAGAAAGAAAGAAAGAAAGAAAGAAA